CTGCCAGTTACCCCCATGCCCCTGGAGGCCAGCCTCAACCTCTGCACCTCACACCCGCATCCCTGCCTTCCGGCTCCTCTCGGTAGGTGGGGTCTGGGCAGGCGCAGTTGAGGGTAGAAGGGCTGGCATAGAACACTCGCTCAGCCCCTACCTTTTGGCTTCTGTCCCCCATCTCAGGCTGGCTGGGAAGGTTCTGGGGGAGGGATTCCTTCCGTCTCAGTCTCGCCCCTCAGGTGCTGATCCCGGTGGCCTGTGGGTGGATCGTCGCTGCCCTTCTGGGTCTCAGCGCCATCCCCCTGGAGCTGTCTGCCCCCTCCAAGGCACCCTGGTTTTGGTTGCCTCACCCAGGTGGGTCTTCTCCTAGTCTTCCATCCTCTCACTCAAATAAAGTGTCTATTTCTTTAAACTCAAGATTTAATGAATTTCATTTCTGAGTTAAATCCCGTGTTTTCGCAAAACACACAGGAGAGAAATTGCTAGTCTGAGGGGCAATGCCAGCCCCTTATCACAGGTGTTTTATTTAATGTTAACAGACAGCTGCAGGCCCCACCACTCCCAACTGTCCTCCTCACCCAGTTTACACATTTATGTTACCTACTCCCACAAGGCATTTGGGTTAGTGACCTATGTATGAAGACTGCTTTTGAGACATTGTATATGAAATGTACTCATTCATCCACTTAATAAAGGTCTGTTGAGTGCTGATTATATGCTAGACATGTGACAGGGGACATAGTGATGAACATGACAAACATAGCACCTGTCCTCATGAAGTTTATAATCTGCTGGGGAATACAGATACTAATTAAACAGTAACCCAAGTAAATGTAAAATTGCACATGGTAAATGTAACAAAGGGGAGGTACATTGTGTGATGAGAGCTTATAATGGGGACTCTGACTTTATCAGAGAGGTCAGGAAAGGTATTCTTGAGGAAGTGATCTCTGAGCTGAGATGTGAGAGATGAGTAGGAGCTAATTGGGTGAAGGCAAGAGAGAAGAGCATTCTAGGTGGACAGAACAGCATATGCAAAGGCTCTGTGGTAGCTAGCAGCTCAGCAACTACAAGGGTCTGAAACAAGGTCAGTATATCTGGAGTGAAGGCAGTGAGGCAGAGTGTGGTGGGAGATGAGGCTAGAGAGAGAGAGGTAGAGATCAGATCAAAGAGGCCCTTTTAGACCATGGTAAAGGGATGGCTCTTTATCCTGAGAGTTTGGTGGTTTTGTCTCAAGACATTATCTTCAAAGACAAAGGAGCCTCCAGGGTTCTAGTGGCATAGGCCTTTGGAAGCAAGGGGATGCTCCAGACTTGAGTCTGGCCCCAAGGCAGCTCTTTCTCCCTCCCCAGCTGAGTGGGACTGGCCCTTGCTGACACCCAGGGCTCTGGCTGCAGGCATCTCCATGGCCTTGGCAGCCTCCACCAGCTCCCTGGGCTGCTACGCCCTGTGTGGCCGGCTGCTGCAGTTGCCTTCTCCACCTCCGCATGCCTGCAGCCGAGGGCTGAGCCTGGAGGGGCTGGGCAGTGTGCTGGCCGGGCTGTTGGGGAGCCCCATGGGCATTGCATCCAGCTTCCCCAACGTGGGCACAGTGAGTCTTGTCCAGGTAGGTGGACGGGGCGCCCATGGGGGAGTGAGTGCTGCAGGAGAGGGAAGGGCACTCACACTCGCTGGCCGCCAGCTGTGCCCAGTGCTCTGTCATGCTCTCCACACCAGTGATCTCATTTAGGGAGGTGCCTAGAAGTGGTGAAGGGGCTAGGGGTGTGAGGAAGACACTAAGTCACTACAGAACGCCTTCTGTGCCTCAGACACTGGACCAGGGCTGGGGTTCCAGTGAAGAACAAGTCAGATCAAGTCCCTAATCTCTTGCGGACAATTTAAGAAAAGTAAACAAGATAATTTCAGAGTGATAAGTGCTATTAAGAAAGCGAAGCAGGGTAACGGGATACTGGTTGGTAAAGAGGCCCCTTTAGCTGCAGTACCCTTGGAAGGGTAACATGTGAGTTGGGATCCAAATGATGAGAACGGCCAGCCAGACTAAACCCTTCAACAGCCCAGGAGGTGGCTGCATCTTCCAGTGTCTCCTCTTCACCTAGGCTGGATCTCGGCGAGTGGCCCACTTGGTGGGGCTGCTCTGCATGGCGCTTGGGCTCTCCCCAAGGCTGGCCCAGCTCCTCACCACCATCCCGCTGTCTGTGCTTGGTGAGTGGATATATCAGCAGGACTGGTGTTGAACCAGTACCCGCCAGCATGACCAACTGGTTTGTTGTGGCTGGCACCCTTCTTTCTGAATAGCTTCCCCGAAACATGGATATAAGCATGGGTCAGCTGCCCTCATTTTCTCAGCCCCATATCTTGGCCTCTTGACTAGGCTTCTGGCAGAATCAGAAATAAGCCTTTTGGTGGTCTCTCCATCACAACCTACCCTGCCCTGCCACACTCCCTGCTGTACCAGCCTTCTCTCAACCCCTTTGATTACTTCCATATGAGACAGGTGGGGTGCTGGGGGTGACCCAGGCCGTGGTTCTGTCTACTGGATTCTCCAGCTTCCACCTGGCTGACATTGACTCCGGGCGGAATGTCTTCATTGTTGGCTTCTCCATCTTCATGGCCTTGCTGCTGCCAAGATGGCTTCAGGAAGCCCCAGTCCTCCTGAGCACAGGTGGGAGGCGTGGGGAAGGGGGGTGGAGTTGCTCAGTAGCAGGAAAGCAAGGGCTTGAGCTTCAGGCTCTCTGGACTCCAGGCCCCACACCCGTCTCTGGGATTTGGTGTGAACAGTTGGCCCCTTGGGATACAAAGGTGCCTCCAGATGTTACAGTCTAGTAATAAAGAGATGAAGTGTGAAGGAACAAACAGAAAAGGTTCAGATGAAGAGCTGTGGTGCTCAGTAGCGAGAGAGATGGCTTCTGTCTGAGATAATCCCGGTAAGGTTTAGGGACAAAGTAACGTTGAGCTGGTCTGGAAGGATGGCAGGATGCAAACATATTTGGTGAGATGAAGGTCATTCCTGGTGGAGGAACCATCATAAACAAAGACATAGAAGTCAGAAATCATAGGGTTTGTCCTGGGAGCAGCAACAGGTAGCCTGTTAGCTCAGCTTAGCAAATAGCAGTGGTTCTCAACTGAGGATGATTTTGCCCCACAGGGAACATTTGGCAATGTCTGGAGACATTTTTGGCTGTTACAAACAGGGGAGTGGGGATTGTCATTGGCATTTAGTGGGCAGAGAGATGCTGCTAAACATCCTGCAATGCACAGGACAGTCCCCTTCAAACAAAGAATTACCTGGTCCAAGATGTCATAGTACTAAGATTGAGAAACCCAGGCTAGAGCATGGAAGGTAAGAAGTGGGGAATAAGGTTGGGGCTTTTAATACCAAACTTTCCGGAGATGGAGCCTTGAACTATCAAAGCCTAACTGGAGGTGCATGTGGATGCTCAGAAGACTGAGAATTGAGCAGGGATCCTGTGGGAAGGGCCTGGGTGTGGGAAATGGAGAACAGAGGGACAAAGGTGGGGGGATGGAATGACAACTCAGAAAGATCTGTTTTTAGTCCAAGACGTAGGTTTAGAGCTAGAAGTATAAGACCTCTTGGCCTTGCATAGGATCAGAGTTCCCTTCCTGCCTGGCCCCAACCCCCTGTAGGCTGGAGCCCCTTGGATGTGTTACTGCACTCGTTGCTCACAGAGCCCATCTTCCTGGCTGGACTTTTGGGCTTCCTCCTGGAGAACACCATTCCTGGTAAGCTGAGGCCAGGCTCCAGCAGACTGGGGAGTGGCCAGGAAGTCATCACTCCCCCGGTTGGGCAGTAGCCTGACCAGCCTCTCTTTTGCAGGCACACGGCTTGAACGAGGCCTAGGTCAAGAGCTGCCATCTCATTTCGCTGCCCAAGAGGCATGGATGCCTAAGAAGTGCAGGGAGAAGGCTGCTCAAGAGTACGAGCTTCCTTTCCCCATCCAAAACCTGTGTCCCTGCATCCCCCAGCCCCTCCGTTGCCTCTGTCCACTGCATGAAGTCCCCGCAAAGGAGGAAGGAGGGCCCTCTGAGCCAGGAGAGACAGCTGACTTGCTGCCTAGCTTTGGGGAGCAGTGCCCAGGGCCTAGCAGAGAACTTAGGCCCCAGTAATTACTAGGACTCCTACTTGTGTCCTAGTTAGTTTAGCCCTATTTCCCAGCTTGCTGGAGAGTCACCTCCCAGGCTCTGCTTTCTCCTAAGGAAAGGGCGTGTGTGTGTGTGGGTGTGTGTGTGTGTAAAATGGGCCACCTAAAGGTCTCATTTCCCCATAGGTGTTTTGCCTTCTCTTAATTGAGCCTAATGGTTCCAGAGCAGGGCCCATGGTTTGATGGACCATGAATGAATGAATGAGATTTTGCCTGTGAACTATCTATACTTGAACCCCAGCATCCACTTAACAAATATTTATTGAGCACCTCCCATGTGCAAGGTCCTGGAACTACAGATATGGATGTGACAGGGTCCCTGTCCTCTCAAGGGACTTACCGTTTAAAAAGACTTATGTAATTACTAACTAGAATCCAAACAAGAAGGCAGTCTGTAATAAAGATTAAAACAATGCAAAGAGGAAGAAACAATTCATTCTGATTGGGGATAGCAGGAAAGGCTTTATGAAAGCAGCAGCACGGAGACTGGCCCTGACAAGAGCAGGATTTTCAGTGGTGGAAAATTGATGGGAAGAATTCTTCAGGCTCAGGTATCCAGCCTTAGCAAAACTGTAGGTGGTACAAAGCACAGATGAGCTGAGGGATTTCAAGCTTCTCAGGAGCATAAGTACAGGAGTGGAAGGAGGGAGAAAGGAGACAGGAGAGGCAGAGGATGAGGTCAGACCGTGGGATTTATGCCTGGGAGACTCATCTCTTAACTCGAGCGCTGGTGAGGACCTGAGACATTATCTAGTGAAGGTCAATCCTCTCGTTTTATTTGGAAAAAAAAAAAAAAAAAAAGAGGTTGGACAGGTAGGGGGAGGGAAGGGAAGGGATTTGAGTTTGCCAAGTCCAAATCTGGGGACCCCTCTCCTGCACCTCGTGCTGCATTCTTTCTCCTCCGCAAGAGTGACTCTAAGGAGCGCCACCCGCCTCCTCCCTACCGGCAGGTCGCCCAGGCTCTCATCTGGCTCTCCTGGCCTCGGTGTGCCTCCAGGTCCGAGCGCTCCTTTAATCAGCTCAGGGGGCGCAGATGCCCCGCCCACACCGGCCAAGGCCCCGCCCCTGTGCCCCAAGACCCCGCCCCCCGTGGCGGGGAAATGCCAGTACTCTAGGCCTTTCGGTTTGCGCGGGCGGGCCTGCTGCGGAGAGAGTGGGAGCTCTCGCAGCCGCTCACGGTAGGTGGGGTCGGGCTCGAATCGGGGCCGAGGTGGGGACCGGACGGCGAGGAGCTGCTCGAACCCTGCGGACTGGCCCGGGCAGGGCGCTATCCCCGCGCAGAGACCCGCGCGCGCCCTGGGTCCTGGGGCAGGCCTCCGTGGGTGGGCGGGGCTGCAAGGCCGCGCGTGCGCAGCCCGCCTCCCGGCGGCGGGGCGGGGTTTGCAAGGATGCTCTTTGGCGGCAGCAAGGAAGGAGCTGCTTGTGCGGTTTGTTATCTCCTGAGGCGTCCCGAGGTGCGCCTCAGTGCAGCCGCTGCTGTAGCAATGGAAAGGCGGACGGCGAAGGCCCTTCTAGCGAGAGCGGGTGGGGACTGGACGCCAGGCGGGGCTCCTGGGGTAGGGCTGTGGTCAAGGGAGCGAGGGTTCGCCCTTTTCCAGAGGGACGGGGCGTGGCCCAGCCTGGATGGCCGCTGGGGCCTGGCTGCCCTCTGCAGGATGGCGGAGGAACTGCGCTGAGCGGGGCTCCCGGTCGAGGGGCGGGAATTGGTGCAGACGCCGGTTCTCAGCGACCTCACCCCGCTGTTGGCCCTCGGCGCTCCCCACCTCCGTGCAGGAATAATAAACGGGTGAATCTAGTTAACGTGAAGGTTAAAGGCGGCCTCGAAGGGAAAAAGAAAAAAGTGGGCTATAGAGGCCTCAGAGTCGACAGGACGTGTGTGGTGGGAGCAGCTAACCCCAGGTCTGGTGCTGAATGTCACAGACCTTTTTCTAAAACTCCTGCCCCGCCCCCAAAACAAGACAAGACAAAGTACAACCGTACAGTTTGAGAGTCTTGAGCCTCAGGGCTTTGATGTGACAGGCTAGGATAATTAACCCAATTTTGGTGACTCTTAGAGTGCACACTGGGGAGTGCCTAATAGAGAAGGGCTTGGCGACTTCGCTTGCGTTTTGACCTTTGGCAGTGTGGAGCTCTGGTCCGGTGAGGACTAGCTTAATCATTCCAAGATCCTCTCTTCCCCGTAGGAACAGCACGTGAGACTTGTGGCTCGTGACTCAAGTACTGCCATCCAGCAAACAGAGTTTTCAGACAGCAGCAAAGGAAAATCACAAAATATATTTATATTTCACCTGTCTAGTGACTGTACAAATTAAGTTGTGTTACAAGACTGCGCTTCAGAAACTATAGTTGGAAAAATAATGGCTTAGACTCAGATGGAAATGACTGGAGGAACAGAACCCTGCTAACCGTGTTAATGAAATTCAAGGAATTTCGTTATTTTCTTTATATTCTAAGATTCCCCCCCCACCTTCACTTTGTATTTATAGACTGAAATAGTGAAGGAAATTATATCACCTTTTTTGTAACTCACAGGAAAAATGATCAAAGTTCCTGTAAAGTAGGCATAGTTACTGAACATCCACTGGGTTATGGCTACAAATGTAAATGCTGCAGGAGGACAGGTGGTTTCCAGGAGCGTTAGGATGTGCAACAGGGTCTGCTGTCGTTGGTGGCAGTGCCTCGGGGTGGGCATGTGGGGGAGGATGGGAGTGGGAGTTAATTCACCGCCTCTCCCACTGCCGTGCTGTGCTTGTATTCATGACTTCTTAGTCGATCAGGCTCTTCTTGAAATGGGATTTGGGGCTCTTCTGTTTGCTTCTGGACACAGAGTTTATTAGCTGTTTATTTGTGTGTCATTGATCCCTTTGAGAGTTTGTCCATAGCTGTGGACCTCTTCCCCCCAAATGGGTATACACATGTATGCACAAATTTTGCATGTAATTCCGGAGGATTCACATGCATAGACTCTAGATTAAGAATCCCTGTCTTAGAGAATATATATATATTTATATATTTGAAATTCTGAGAGCTTCTAGAGTTTTGCTTTTAGATAATGATCAAATAATTTGAATTTCCTGCCCATGACACTTATGACTTACGATGTTTTATAAGACAAGAACTATTTCTTCTATTCTAGAAGTTCTGGTAAAGGACAGCATTGACGGATTTATTAGGAATGTGATAAAGATTCAAGAAGAAAGGTTTAGGTTTCCACGTTAAGTTCTATTATTAGAAAGCAGAAGTACTGATATCAGTATGCTGAGGCTTAAATTCTATAGAAGAAAGGTTTTTTTGTGTCCTCTAGGAACTTAATATGGAAAAAAAAAACCCTCTCAAAGTTATAAATAGATTTTTAGTGGCCAAGAGGTAGTAAGGTTGGTACTCAGCTGGTTATATGTGGGAGTGGGGGCTGGGGGCTGGGAGATGGAGGAGAGGGGTAGAGTGTAAATCCTTGCCTTCTGTTTTACTAGGGAGGATTTTCACAAGACTTGTTTGACATAGACTGTCTGCACGGTGCCCCTCCCCAGGCCTACACTACCCTAGGGAACTTTGCTGAATGAAGACTCTCTTGCAGATGGAGGAACTGGAGCGAGGCCTGTTGATGCAGCCGTGGGCGTGGCTACAGCTTGACCAGAACTCCCTCTTGGCCAAGGCCTATATCACTAAGCAGGGCTATGCCTTGCTGGTTTCAGATCTGCAACACGTGTGGCATGAACAGGTGGACACCAGTGTGGTCAGCCAGCGAGCCAAGGTAAGTGTGAAGAGAAGTCTTGCTGTGGAGTGGAAGTGGATATAATTTCTTTCCTGATGAGGATCAGGGGACATTAACATCCACCACCTTGCTTGGTGGCAACTGCTAGGTTGCCAAGGAAGGTCGGATCCAGTTGAGACAATTCCGGTTAATGCCCTGCACTTCTCCCTGTAGCCCTGGGATCATTCCGTGGTTGTGAGCGTGTATGTTAGTTTCTGTACTGCATACGGTACAAGGCGGAATTGTGAAGTAGACCAGTTGATCACTCTCTTTTTGTTTTCTTTTTCCTGTGTTGATGTTTTTTATCTTCCCTTCCCTTCCTCTCGTGCCCACCGTCTTCATGTTAACTGGGAGTTTTTCTTTGCTGTGACTTACGAGGGAGTCAGTTTCCTTTAGCACCCTCACCCTTTACAACTCCCGCTGTCTTTTTAGGAGCTGAACAAGCGCCTGACTGCTCCCCCTGAGGCTTTTCTCTGTCATTTGGATGATCTCCTTCTCCCGTTGTTGAAAGACACTGCTGGCCCTGGCAAAGCCACCTTCTCCTGCGATCGTGTGGCAGAGGCGCTGGTACTGCGCGTGCGGAGTGAGCTCTCTGGTCTTCCTTTCTATTGGAATTTCCACTGCATCCTAGCTAGTCCTTCCCTGGTAAGTGCAATTCCAACATGGAATGGGGAAGGGGAATGCCAGCTGTGCCAGCTGCTTTGAGATGAAGCTTTAGGTGTTCTTGGCTTTTTTTGTAGACTCTGTTTGAAATTCTTCTCCAATTAGAAAACTTTCCTTGGCTAGACAGAGGGCAGAAAGGATTCTTGACTGCTGCATCCTTTCCTTGCAAAGGAGCAGACTTTGGGTCTACACGCTTCAGGTGTCTTTATTCATTACTTTATTTGTTCAGCATTTATTGAGCATCTATTATGGGCTAATGGTTGCGTGTCCAGATCTAAAACAATATAGCCTGTTCCTGGAGTTCATCATCTAGTGAGAAGACAGACAGGAAACAGGATAAAGTATGGTAATTCTTTGATTGAGGTAAGCCCAGGATGATTGGGGATCCGAAAGACCTTTTTGAAGAGAGAGTTTCTGAGCTGAGTTTTGAAGATGAGTAGGAACTAATTGGGAGAAAATAGAGGTCATTCTAGGCGAGAGTGCAATTTTGAGAGGCGTGAAGATGTCTAAGCGTGGGGCAAGTCGGGGGACTTCGTGACCGCAGGGAGTCATGAGAAATGAGGCAGGGAGTGGCCAGATCTTGAAGGATTCTAATGAGTTTGGGTTTTATTTCAAAGGCAACAGGGATTCCTTGAAAGACTTCAAGCAGGGGTTTAACTTGATCCACTTTGTCATTTATCAAGATCAGTCTGGCAACAGCATAGAGCACGGACGACGGTTAGGTATCTTTTTGAACATTATCTCATCGTTTAATCCTCACAACCATCCTGCAAGATAAGTAGTCTTATCCCCATTTTTCAGAGTAGGAAACTGAGGTTGAAGGTAATTTGTCCAAAGTCATCCAGCTTGTAAATGGATGAACTGGGGTTCAACTCCCAGAGAGGTCTGATTCAAGAGCCATTTTCAGGGACTAGGAGGATAGTGTCCTTTGTTTGTTACTCATTCTTGTGATAGTTTTTATTTAATCTTTTTTGAGTGAGTAATTCATGCAAAAAGTAAACATATCAAACGTCCTCTAGGAGGATAACGTCGTAGAAACGTGTAGTTTTCTAGGCCTCCAGAGCTTTTATTAGAAATTAGTTGAGGGGCCGGCCTGGTGGCATAGTGGTTAAGTTTGCGCACTCTGCTTCCATGGCCTGGGTTCACGGGTTCAGATCCTGGGTGCAGACCTACACACCGTTCATCAAGCCACACTGTGAGGGCATCCCAGATGCAAAATAGAGGAAGAGAGGAAGAGCACATATGTTAGTCCAGGGCCAGTCTTCCTCACCAAAAGAAAGAAAGAAATTAGTTGAGAGTGGTCATTAAGAACCACGTTGCAGGAGTTACTACTGCTGGTCCCTTCCACCCTTCTGTATAAACAGAGCCTGCTCCAGTCAGTAGCGTTAGAGGACGGAGTCTTCTGTGGGAGGCCTAAGGGTGTGGGTTTATCAGCAGAGGGGTCTGAAGACGTGTGGGCATCACTTCCTATCTCCCTTCTTTAGTCTCCCAGGGGTGATATGATGCTTTGGCATCAACGGGGTGGATGGAACCAAGTGCTTTTTGAGAAACTGTTCTCTGGTGTTTATTTTTGATCTGGAACCCCATAAAACCAGACTTGAGTGCTTGGAGAACTGCTTCCTATTCCTCTCTGAATTTCTAAGGCCCATCGACAGTGCTTAGCAGATAATAGTCACTCATGTTTATTGGTTTTAATTGAATTTCTTGTGAAATTTTCCAGCCTGCTTTAGTTTCAGAATTTACCTATTTTGTTCAAAACCCTTGTAACCTTTTCCAAGGAACACCAGGGGGCACTGTTCCCTCAGTAATACTTTTTCTGGGACCAAAACATTCGGGCTGCCTTTGGGAAGCGAGTCTCGTTTTCCATCGCACAGCCCTAGAAATTCCGAATGGTCACAGTGGGGAGGCAGTTCTCCTTGGGGGCTGATGCGCTCTGATAGTTTTTTCCTTCGAAAGAATACGGGAAAGAACACTTGTATAATGATATTATAGTTGAAAATAATGCATAAAGAAAAAACTAGCTGTTCTAGGCACATTCCTCTAGTCGAGGAGCCACAATGAGAAAAGAAACAACAGTGGTTAGCGTGGAATGAGTCTTGTTGGCGGTGGGGAGAATTTAGCGTTGAACAATGGATTAGCAATTATGCTTTAAGGTAAAATAAAATATTTATTATTGAGAAAGGAAGAATGCCACCCCCAGGGAAACCCCTGACCCGGAGGAAGCTTTTAGAGCCAGTGAACACTGGCAAGGATGTAGGCGGTTACTATTTCAGGCTTGTGTGTGTGTCTGTGAGGTCACACAGTCATAATTTTTGTTTGTTACTCATTCTTGTAATAGTTTTTATTTCATTTTTTTTTTTGAATGAGTAATTCATGCAAAAGGCAAACATTTCAAACAGCATTTAAGGGTGTACGGTTAAAAATAGGTCTTCCTTCTACCCCCTTTTCCAGGCCCTTATTTTCCTTCTCTAAAGCAACTACTGATATCAGCTTCTTGTGAATTCTTAAAGAAAGCTATATATAGATATGTATATACTCAGACAGTCAAAAACGTATCTGGGTATGTGTGTGTATTTTTGCAAAAGGCGGCATGCTGTTCACACTGTTCACTACCTTGCTTTTTTCACCTAATTATAGAACTTAGAAAGCATTCATAGCAATATGTTGAGAAGACCTGCCTTAATAGTCTTTAATGGCGGCATAACGTTTTATTTAATGAATACATCAACATGTATTTAATTGATGTGCTACTAGTCACCTAGGTTGTTTCTATTCTTTTGTTGTTGTGTATAGTGAATATCCTTGTATTTACTTTTCTATGTGTAAACGTGTGAGGAAATTCCTGGAAGTGGAATAGTTCCAGAATTCTTATTTGCGTCTTTAATCTTGCTAATGTAATATTACCAAATTGTCTTCCGGAGAGGTTATGCAGTTTAACTCTGACTCGTCATACGGGAGAGTGGGAGAGTACCCGTTCCCCACGCTCTCTACAATGTGCTGGATTCACATTGCCAATGTAATACTCTTAGGTCTCTGCAGGATATTGTGGGATATATACAGCTTTGAGTCTCTGCCTTCTAACGCTGGGTCCGTTTCCACTTCTGGCCGACTTCTCTTCCTCTCTTCCTCCTTCCCACTGACTATTCTTTCTAGTATCTCACTTAATTCTTTTTTGTTGTTGCGGTCTTTGTTTTTTCTAATGTAATTTCTTGATATTCTGTACTTTGACTTTCACGTCTGTCACCTCTTTGGCCATTTTCTAATTCCTAGGAGTCACATCCAAAGCTTTTCTGCGGTGGAAAGAGCACAGGCTTTGGGACCAGCAGTCCTGAATTTGTAGCTCAGCTCCACCACTTTCACTACCTTGTATTACCTTGGATAAGTTACTGAATTTTTATGAGACTTGGTTTCTTTGTCTGTAAAATGGAGATACCAATCTTTACTATGGAGCTGTGAGCATTAAATAAGAGAATACATATAATATTACTTAATCTTAGCATTATAGTGGGCCTGTGAGAGCAAATATCCAACTCCATGATTTTTCTTTTTCTTGTTTTCATTTTTATTTTTTGCACAGAAGGATTCGCCCTGAGCTAACATCTCTTCCTATCTTCATTTTTTTCCCCTCCCCAAAGCCCCAGTGCCTGGTTGTATATCCCACGTTAAGTCCTTCTAGTTCTTCTGTATGAGCTGCCGCCACAGCATGGCAACTGACAGATGGGTGGCGTGGTTTCATGCCCGGGAGACGAACCCGGGCTGCCCAAGTAGTGAGAGCACCAAACTTCAACCACTAGGCCATCAGGGCTGGCTTGCATAATTTTTCTTTTTTAAAAAAGACAAGGACCATGAGAGTCTTTGGTAGTAAACCACTTTCACGTATAGGTGCTATCAGAGCCAGGACTAGAATCTAGCTCTCCTAACGCCCGGTCTGTTAATTCTTTTCACTGTCTTGCAACCTGATATGATTCATCTTGGGATTGATGACTGCCGTTCTGCTCTCCTGCCTGTGAATTGTGAGCATTTCTCTGGGAAATCTGAAGATGTTGGAGGAAATTGTAAATAGCTTTTCCTCTGGAGAAGATTGGCGACTCTTGCTTCGATATCCACCCACTGCCTGAGCTCCTCAGCTGTTGTGAGCTTTTTGAGGGCAGAGGCCTATAGGGCCAGAGCAGGGATTGGGCACACAGTAGGTCTTTGTTGAGTTAATTGCTGAACTGAATCTCTTTATACATTGCCATGTGTAAATGAAGAGGGGGTGTCCCTGACCTCCTAAAACACGTCAAGATTTTCCCTTGTGGTGTCTGTGGATTTGCTATGAAATCCATTACTTCAGCCACAATGCCTTGTTCTAATTAACTAATCTGAGTTAGTGTCTATCTAACTTTGAAATGAGTTATACTCCATTGATTCAGAGTGGTATAACCCAATCCTGTGAAATTATTTGAGAAATATTTACTGATAAAAAGGTTTTTTTGCTATATAGACATTGGAGACTGATGGATAATTTCAGGTGCTTAGTATGGCATTAAGTAGACTTGGCATCGATTAAAAACAGTTTCTGAGGCCAGCCTGGTGGCGCAGTGGTTAAGTTCGCACATTCTGCTTCTCGGTAGCCTGGGGTTCGCTGGTTAGGATCCTGGGTGCAGACATGGCACCGCTTGGCAAGCCATGCTGTGGTAGGTGACCCACGTATAAAGTAGAGGAAGATGAGCATGGATGTTAGCTCAGGGCCAGTCTTCCTCAGCAAAAAGAGGAGGATTGGCAGCAGATGTTAGCTCAGGGCTAATCTTCACAAAAAAAAAGAAAAAAAAAAAACCCAAAAAGCAACAGTTTCTAATCATGTTTTGTGTTGTTATATTTACCACCACTCAAAGAAATTGCTGTTAAGGTGGCCTCCCAGGGGGAGGCTGGTTATTAACTTCAGGAGTTTCTGTTATTTGAAGGCTGTCGCCAGATGGGCCGTGATGCTGCTTGGGCAGCAAATACAGTTACTTTCACTTCTACCCACCAAACATTGACTTGCTTTCATACAGGTATTCACCTGTTTTTCCTCCTGATCTACCTTGAACAGGACCAAACTTAAAACAATTCCTGGGAAAGATGGTTGGGTCCAGAACAGATAAATTTTCCCGAAGCAGAACTTCTGCCACGTTCTGAACAGCACTAAGAACCTGATCTGGAGACAGTACCAGGTTGCCACGTGCTGTGTGACAGAAAGAGGTGGCCGGTGGCTATAGCTGGACTTGATTTCTTGCCTTCCACTCTGCTCCAGTTCCCCGGCATCTCTTGGGTCCTAGTGCTGGTACAAAAGCTGCTGCCACTAGCCCTTAACCTCCCCCCATACTCCCACACCCAGTCTTTTCTAATCTGTGCTTACAGAAATGTGGAAAAAAAGTTCTTTCCTCTCAGTTTGAGCCACCATACAATTGGAGTTGTTAGTAGTAAGTTTTACTAGACAATTAATGGCAAACAAAAACATAGAAGTCTAAAGAGCCCAGACATCTGATCCTGATCCAGATGAGTCTGGCTTGCACATCTTATGGGGCACTCCAGCAGCATCTTTTCCTCCCTTCAAGCCTGTTTGGGGTATCTTGTCTAAAAGTTCTCCTTTTTAGGTCTAGGGCGAGGGTTGGCGTACCATGGCCAATGGGCCAAATCTGGCTTGCTGCCTGTTTTTGTAAAGTGATCTTGGAGCCCAGCTGCCCTCATTGATGACATGTTGTCTACGGCTGCTTTCATGCCACAACAGCAGTCGAGTATTGCGACCAGGACTGTATGGGCCACGGAACTGAAAATGTTCACTATCTAGCTCTTCCTGAAAGAGTTTACTGACCTCTGATCTAGGGCATTTCTTTAGTGCCTCCTTTCGTTCTTCTCCTTGGGGGAAGGGAGAGGAACTGTGATCACATCCCCTAGCCACAAATAGATTATCAACTTCATTTTCTTTGACAGGCTAATGGACACCTTGTTATAGGTGAATTAAATGATTATCCTGTATAGCTGTACATTCTTATCACCCTGGCTGCACCTGCAGTATGGCTGTGCTTGCATCCTTCTTTCCGCCCTTTAAGAGCAAGATGTGCATGTCTGTGTGGGGAGGTGATTAATTCCTTCCTAGGCTGGCCTCTTGGTGACTGGCTTGCTTCTATGATAACAATGACCTTAGACTTTGCTGTGTTTGTGGGAACAGATTGACCCTCTGGGCTGATGCGGGGCTGTCATCAGCCCTGAAAAGGCTCTTACTTGGTGTCTGGGTCTAATTCGACTTTCAGAGCTCTCTGCTTTCTGTTGATTTTCATCTTCTGTTATACTCCAGCTGGCATACTGTGTTTTAACCATGCCTACTTTCTTGGAGATCTTCTGCTTTTGTCTCCACGTCTCTGCTCTGAGAGTTGAGTCAACACTGTCCTCAATCACCTGTGTCACCTCCTTCTCTTTAAATCACCCTCTGGCTTATCTATTCATGTGGGTTCTCCTTTACTCTTCTCCTCCTTTCATCTGTGCCATGAAGAAAATCCTTGAGCTTCGTCATGTACTTATTTCATTGTTATATTTGTATTTACATTCATGTAAATGGATTGCTTGCCTATGAAACTATGAATTCCTGTGAAAACATTTATTCCTCAGTATTTCTTCTAGTTCCTAATGTAGGGAGTGCTTTGTAAGTGTCTGTTGGCTAATTAATGTCTCCTCCTTGAAAGGTTTCCCAGCATTTGGTTCGTCCTCTGATGGGCATGAGTCTGGCATTGCAGTGCCAAGCGAGGGAGCTGGCAACACTGCTTCACATGAAAGATCTAGAGATCCAGGACTACCAGGAGAGTGGGGCTGTGCTGAGCCGAGGTGAGCGGACATTCTTTGGGGAGTTGGGTGGGGAGGGGTACAGATGGTCAGAGGGCCACAGAAAAGGCATTAGAGAGGTGCTTCCCCGGGCAGGGCTGCTCACTGACCAGGACCTGGATACTTGATGCTGGGACACTTCTCTCTGCCTCAAGGACCTGGCTGGCACCTGAGGGGCCTCTAGAAGCTGTAACTGAGTCCAGACATGCCCTAGGCAATGGCAAGGGAAGACTTGGGAAAGGGGCCAACGGCAACACGAAATTGTATGAGGGCGACACCACTTGGGACTTTAGGAAGCCACATAGCTCCCACTTCAGAATAAAAGTTCAGTCTGACCTTTGTCTTTGTGAGGGGCAAACCTCCTGGAGCACGTGCTGCCCCCGACCCTGTCATTTGTTGCTCATCGCCCACTCTTCCTCCTCTTTGCCCGCATGCTCTCAACCCTTCTTCTCCCGCTGGACTAGGTGCCTCTGGGTGTCGTATCTTTACCCTCTCTTTCAAGCTGTTCTGTTCTTGCCTCTGCTCCCTTTCCATCTCACAGGTAGGAAGCTCATGCTAAGACTCGCATGTCTTCTCTTTCTCCCTTCTTATTACAGATCGGTTGAAGACAGAGCCATTTGAAGAAAATTCCTTCTTGGAACGATTTATGGTAGAGGTAGAGTATTTATTTCCTTTCTCTTATGCAACTTTCCTTTCCTTCGTCTTTCCAGGTGCCTGAGTGGTGACTTGCATTTTAGGTGTCAGGTTGCTTGCATGGTTGGGAAGCCCTTTTGTTGAAAAAGCTCCCTGTAGAAAATCTGTAAAAGTTTGAGATGTACACGGGGAAGATGGGGAGGAGGAGGGAGAAAGAATGTAAAAGGCGAAAGTGGGCTGATTAACGTTCTTGAAACATCTCTGTCCAAGAACCTAGGAATTTCATTTGGAATCCTCTAACCTTGGAAAGTGTAGTTGACCAGTTGCTAAATTTTGGCCTGTTGAGATCTGATCACAGGTCTGGATTGTGGAGCAGGGGGATAGTCATTATTTCTTGTCCAGGCCCCTTCAGCATCCCGCAGTAGAGGAAGGTGAAGAGCGCAGGGCTACCATTTGGGGACTGTCTTGTGGGCACAGTAGGCTGTGGAAAATCACAGTGTTTGTACAAGGGGCCTGGCAAGGGCATGAATGGGGAGTAGATAATTGTGGCCTGTCAGAAGCTCCTGCCTAGGTTTCCCTTCTAAGGATTGAGCTTGGCCAAAAGAAACATCTATTAAATGCCAAACCGGGGGAGTATTAATAATAGTGACCTTTGATAATACCAGTCAATATTGATCTTCTCCTTCTCTAACTCTTCTGGGACTTGTTGGTTGCACAGTAAGTACCCTAGTATTATTGCTCTATTTTCTAATTATACATGTTACCCAAGTTGGTACTTTATTATGTAAATAAATAATGCTATTATAATATTGTGTTATGTATAGATTATTCATATTTCTGTCTTGTCTTCTAGGCTAATTTGTAAACTGCTTGTGGACAGGGATGTGACTCATATGTCTTTTGAACCTGAAATTAGTACTTTTCACAGGGCTGGGCATCAAGCAGGTGTTCTTGGCTTGGAACCTCTGTTCTGCCTCTGTGCACTGGCTGAGCAATGACCCCACAGTGCTTGGGGTCGTAACACTAAGCAAAAAATTGCGAGCTGAGTGCGCAGTCCGTCTGCTGAAGCAATTGTGACTTGGAGAAGAAGGAAAGGATGTTTTGTTAAGCCCTGAAGCAGAATAGGTTTCAAGTCTTTAAGGGGAAAAAGAGACCATTAAACCTAGACTTGTAACAGAGATTTCCTAGGCCATTTTTCTCCCAGATGGCTTCCCCGGTCTATAAGTTTGGGCATTAAGGAGGTTAACATAGGCTGACATAGTAGTTTGGATGGCTAACGTAGGATGACATGCTAGTTCCTTGCCTCAGCCACCTAGATAAACAATGCAAGGCGTATTCTTAGCCCGACAGAGAAGTCCCTTCCTGATCTAGTGCCTGAGGACCTATCCAGCTTGGTTTCTTGACATTTTTCTTGATGTGCTTTATCCTTCAGCCATATAGAATGACTTTGAATTGCCAGAAATGCTGTTTTCTCTAGCCTTTATATCTTTGCACGCATTGTTCCCCTTATCTAGAATGCCCAATGCCCTGGCCTTATCTATCTTATAAACTTCTATTAATCTTTCAAGTGTCAGCCTCAGCTTCTTTGGGAGACCTTTCCAGACTCTCCTTGTAAAGATAATCTTTCTTCTCTGCTACTATAGTACCTTGGTTCCTACCTCTGTTTTACCACCTATAATTTTGTAGTATTACTGTTTGTATGTCTGCAACACTGTGTCTTTCTCTTCCACTGATCTGTGGGCTGTTTGAGGTCAGGGACCATGTTGAATGCATTTCTATATCCCCAGCACTGAATATAGTGCCTAGGAGTAGTAGCTTCTCAGTAAGTTTGTGGGTGAATATGTGGATAAGTCTATGCCAGGGAAATTTTAGGAAAATCGTGGCACTGTGGCCTGTGGATACAATGTTGCTTGTTAGACCTATATTTGGGGTCTTTTAGTTATTCTCCTGGTTTATTCTTTGGATAAATCACTTCTCTCAGAGCCTCTATTTTCTCATTTATAAAATTGGAGGCTCATCTCTTCTAAGCCATTGGGGTGGGAGGAACCCTGCAGAATTGAATGAGAAAGCATATAGAATGTAGGTGCTAGCCCGGGAAGGGTATTGGTATTTGGAAACCAACTACTTTAAAAATACCTGTCCTTGGGGCTGGCCTGGTGGTATAGTGGTTAAGTTCATGTACTCTGCTTCGGTGCCCAGAGTTCATGGGTTTGGATCCCAGGCAGAGACCTACACACGGCTCATCAAGCCATGCTATTGTGGAGTCCCACATACGAAATAGAGGAAGATTGGCACAGATGTTGTCTCAAAGACAATTTTCCTTAAGCAAAAAGAGGAAGATTGGCAATGGCTGTTAGCTCAGGGCCAATCTTCCTCACCAAAAAAAAAAAAAAATAAAAAAAAAAATACGGAATACTGGTCCTTTAGGTTCTAGGTGGATCACACCCGAGCTACATAGGCTTGTAGAATTTTTTTTATATCTGGAAAGGATCGGAGAGATGGGTAGTTGTAGCTTTCCATTTCATAGATTAAGGAATTGGGCCTCAGAGAGGTTAAGTGACATGCTAAGGTCATGGAGGGTGGCTGTTATGTTATGTCCCCCTACAGTTCTTGTCTAGGATTATCCATATTTTATTATGCTGCTTTAACTTGTGGTACACACGGATTAGAGGAGAGTTAAGGGCTAGGATATTGTGGAATTCTTGTGACCTCTGGGGTCATTGCACTGTCCTTTGGGATCACTGAATGTCCTGTGGAGCCGCTAGAACTGGAAGATCTCCTAGTGGGACTGCAGAATTTTTTATGGCCACTGCATCTTTGCACTTACTCTGCTTGCCTGGGGTCCTACAAACAGGACACAGAAGGGTCATGGGGTCACCCAAGACTGAGCTGGAAGGATGTGCCATCAAAATAAGCAACATCGGAAGATAAACAAACCGGGGACAGAGAGCTCGGGATGAAGGTACGGGGGGGCCAGGGCTGATGTCAGAGGGCCATGCGGTCAGAGCCGGGGGTCTGTTTTTCCTAGTTCTTGTTGGGACTATTGCTAGGCAAGAGGCCATAGGGGTAGGGACAGAGGACAGGGGGACAGGGAGGTTTCTAGGATCCCAAGGCCAGGAAGAATGTTTAAGGATTGAATAGGGGTTACTTCTCCATATTTAGTCCTTTTGCTTTTCCTCTCCACGTAAGAGCCTCTTTCTCTTTTCCAGGGAGCCCAAGGGGGCCGTTCGATAGTGGCCTATCTAGAGGGGAAGTACTGGCAATGTCGGTTCAAGTCAGCTGATGGGGTGGCTGCCGGCATGATCCTCATAGAGGCAAGATCCCCTTAAAGAGCATTTCCTAAGGCTGGGGGCTGAAAGGCACCATTAGAAGGGGAAGATGAGTTAGGGAATTGGCGAATATTATTGCATAGCCGTAGGAACTGTGTTAGAGAGGAAGTTTAGGACGAGTGGGCTGGCATGGCCCACTCTCAGTCTAGTCCACTGGAGGGAGTTCCTTCCCGTGGCCCTGTCCGTGCCTCCTTCTCTCCATCTGGTTGCCATCAGGCTGTGCGGCTGCTGGCGGGCTCTTTATTTATTTATCCCAGTGTAATGGGGTGAGGAGGGAGCTGGCCTAAGGCTGGCATTCCGAGGCCATGCCGCTGAGCCACAGGCGGTTTGCATGGGTGTGTGAGTCACTGGGGCTGCATGCTGCTCAAACCAGACGCGGCCAGGCTCAGGGACAGCAGGCAGCCCAAAATAGAGCCCCGCCCTCTGCAGCTGGCAACCCCTGGCTAAGAATCAGCCCTTGACACCAAAACCTGGGCAGTTGTGCGAAGTTGGCTTTCTTGGGGAGGGGGCCCTTAACAGACAGAGAGATTTTGCAGTTCTCTCCTTCTGTATCTTCAGAGAGGAGTATTCAGCATAGCAATCACTCCCATGGCTGCGTTCTGAATGCCTTGTGAGACTTAAATTAATCTGTTCGGTATCATACCTTAACCAGTTTCTATTATCTACTTATAGTTATATAACCGTAGTTAATGTTGATTTGACTCAGCATCCTAAATGTAGCCATGGCCTTTGTGTCCTGTCTAGTTTTTGTTACTGTCTTCATCCCCTGTCTGGTCGCATCCTGATTCTAGAGCAGCTCCTTGGAGCTATGAAGATATTCATTGCTGCTCTTAGGAAGCTAGAGGTTATATCAAAGACATCTGGGGAAGATGGGGAGTCCTTTAACCTGAAAGTTGCTGTCCTGGTAAGTTCGTTCACAGACAGCTTCCACGTGGTTTCCTTGGCTGGCTTTCCATTCTTTACCTGCCCCTTAAATGTTAGTGTTACCCAGATTTGTGTCCTTGATCGTCTTACCCTTCAATGTCTTTCTCTCTGGGTCATCTCATCCAGACCCAGCTTCAACTATCACTAGTACACCACTGAGTCCCAATTTCATATCTCCATCATGTGTCCAGCCATATTTCTTTCGGTACATTTGACATTTCCACCTGGATGTCCCACATGCAACACCCTAAACGTGTCCAAAATTAATCATCTACTCCCCCCAGCCTATTTCTCTTCTTATATTCCTTCTCTTGGGGCAGTATACCATTATACATTCAGTTTTCTAGGCTAGAAACTTGGGAGTTACCCACTTTTCTCTTGGTCCTTACTTCCAAAGCCTAACTTGTCAGCTGTCTTTTGAATCGGCTCTTCTTCTCTATTCCAGCTTCCATTGCCTTAGATTGGCCACCCCACTCTCTTTTTTGGTTTGACCATGCAACAGCCTCCTGATTTGTCTCCCAGTCAGTCCTTATTTCCCTCCAGCTGACCTTGCAGTTAAATCAGAGTGGCCTCTTTGAAACAGAAACAGAAACTTGATTGCTTAAAGTCCTTCAATGGTTCCCTGTTGCCTACAGGATGAAGTTTAAACTCCTGGCGTGCCACGCAAGATCCTTGACGATTTGGTCCTACTGACCTCTTCGGTCTTATCCCGCTCTGCCATAGCACTGAAGTGCTGACGGCTTCCTGTCCATACATCCCTTGACCAATTTGCCTGTAGTCCCTGTCTCTTGTTCTCCTAGCAGACTCCTGTTCAACTTTCCCAACTCTGCACAGGCATCATCCCTTTTGTGAGTTTTCTATGACAATTTTTCCTTTCCTCAGTCTGCTCTCTTTCTTCCAGGCATAGGTACTCTCTCCTGCTGTTCCCACAGCTCCCTGTACATACCTCCGCCATAGTATTTGTTGGAAGGGAAGATACAGAAATGAAAAGGAAGGATGGGGAGGCAGGGGACAATTGAGTTGGCTGATCCTTGCCAGTTTAGCTTTTTCCTTTATAATGCTTAATTCCTTCTCCTCGATATACTCTCTTTTTACGTGGCTTCCACACCACAATACTCTCCTGTTTTTCTTCCTATTCACGGGGTGCTCCTCGGAATCTTTTGCTGGTTCTTCTTCTCCCTTACCTCTTAATGTTGGAGTGCCCCAGGACTCAGTCCTTGATGCTCATATCTTTTTTCATTCGTTCCGTTAGTGATCTCATCCCATGGCTCGAAATACCATCTTGTTGATGAATCCCACATTTAACCTTTATTCCTAGACCTTGCCCCCAAACTCTGGACTGCCTGCTCAGCATTTCCACATGGACGTCTGATCGAGTCTTAGACTCAACATGTCCAAAACTGAACTCCTAATCTTACTCCCAAATTTGCTTTTCCAACAACCTCCTCCCACGTTAGTTGATGGAAACTTCATCCTTTCTCTTGCTGGGGCCACAAACCTTGGAGTCATCCTTGACTTCTGTCTTTCTCTCACATTCTACATCTCACCCATCAGGAAATCTTGTTGGCTCTACCTTCAAAATATACCTGTAATTTCATCTCTGCTGCCCCCACTGTGGTCTGAGCCATCATCTCTTTCCTGCACTATTGTGATAGCCTCCTTCCTAGTGTCCCTGCTGCTACCTGTGCCCCTTCTGGCCCATCTCTGACGAAGTGATCTTATTGAAACACAGATCACACCGCGATATTGCCCTGCTCAGTGCCCTTCACTGGCTTCACATTTCCTTATAGAGTAAAACCCAAAGACCTTACAATGGCCTATAAAACCCTATGTGGTCTGGACCTCGTTACCTTTCTGATCTCCTGTCCGCCTACTGTCTCCCTCCCTTGCTCCTGTGTAGCACCCTGGCCTCTTGCTGGTTTTCTAATGCTCTAGGCATCACCTGCCTTTAGGCCTTTATGCTTCCTGTTCCCTCTGCCTGGAATGTTCTTTCTTCAAATATTTGTGTGGCCAACTCCCTCACTTCCTTTATTTCTGTATTAGTTGTCTATTGCTGTGTAACAAATTACTCCAAAGCTTAGTGTCTTAAAACAACCGACATTTATTATCTCACACAGCTTTGGAGGGTCGGGAATCTAGAAGCAGCTTAGATGGGTGATTCTGGCTCAGGGTCTCTAAGTTGCAGTCAAGATGTCGGCTGGGAATTCAGTCATTGTGAGGGGCTGGAGAATTCACTTCCAAGCTCTCTCATGTGGCTGTCGGCAGGAGGTGCCACTTTCTTGCCATGTGTCCTCTCCATAGTGCTGTTCACGTGACATGGCCTTGGCTTCCTCTAGAGCAAGTGATCCAAGACGGAGAGACCAAGCCAGAGACCACAGTGGAAGCTGCAGTCTTTCTAACCTCATCTCAGAAGTGACACCCCATCACTATCTTGCTATATTCTCTTCATCAGAAGTGAGTCACTATCCAGGCCACACTCAAGGGGAGGGTAATTAAGAGCCACCTCTTAAGAGGAGGTGTGTCCAAAAAATGTGTGGACATATCTGCATGGACTACAATCATGGCCTTGTTCAAATGTCACCTTCTCAGTGGTTTACCCTGACGAGCCTATTTGAAACTGTGAGCCACATCCCTGCCCTTCTGCACCTGGCACTCCCATTTCACTTTACCAAACTCTGCTTTTCATTTTTTCCATAGCAGTTATCTTCCAACGTATTACTGTAAAACTTACTTATTTTATTATGTTTGTTGTTTATAGTCTGTCTCCCTCTGGCTAGGATGTGTGAGCTCAGCCAGGACAAGGATGTATGTTCGGTGCATTGGATTATCCAAAGTGTCTAGAACAGTGCCTCCCACATAGGGGACACTCAGTAAATATTTCTCGGGTGGATGAAAATCATATCCTCCCACTCCTCTTTGTTTTCCCTGTATTATGACTGGGCCATGAAATCATCACCTGTTGGTGGCCTCAGACTGAGACAGCCTACTGTGAATAGATGAGTAGCCTAGGGAGAGGACCACTGTTGGCGTGCCATCCTCCACCTGCCTCGTTTCTGTGACACTTAGTTTACTGGAAGGTGGTCCCAACTTTGCGATGAAGTACAAATCTTGAATCTTTTATTATTGAGAGACCCTAGCAGCTCTTTTTTAGGCCCAGTTAAGAAATTAAATGTCTCACAAACGAAAGGAATAGGAACCTAACAAAATCCTGGAAAGCACGTTAGTCATAGAGCCAAGTAAGTTGTTAAGTTCCTCCTTTGCTCGGTCTTTCCTCTCTCTGGGCTCTGCTTCCACCGTTCGAAGGGCGGCTCCCCTACCGTACGTCTGTTGTTCGATATGTAGAGGAGGACAGAGATTCAGAACATGTTTTTCGGTGTCCCTCATGGGCATCAGAAAGAAGGATAAGTCTAGAAGCATGAGAGTGGCCTCCCTACCCTTGTGTGTCAGTTCTCGGATCTAGAGAAACTCGCAGTTAATTCCTTCTTGCAGTATTCAGCATGGCGCACGTGCCCTGTGTCAGGTTCTCTGAGCGTATGAGGTATGACAGTAGTGTCATCAGAGAGCTCACTGTGCTTACTGAATGATAATAGGGGCCAGAGGCGTGGAGGGGTGGAAAAAAGCTTCCTGTAAAAGGCAGGATTCCAGTGTTTTTTTTAGGTTTTGCTAGGGAACTACATGGAAGGCATTTTAGGTGGGAAGCCCACGGGCGAAGGATATAAAATAAGAATAAGAGTGGGTGAGGATTAGTAGGAAATAAGGTTAGTAAGATAATAACTTGATGCTAGGTTGTGAGCAGCCTTAAATGCTGGCCTGGAAGATTGGTGCTTTTGTTCCAAGGGGAAATGTGTTTCAGCTTTTGTCTGCCTGTAATCCATTGATTTGCCCATTCCAGTCCGTTTATTAACCTCCATCATTACATGCAGTGATTCTCAAACGGGCAAGTCTCCCAGGAAGGAGATGGGGCGCTTCCTTCTCGTGGTTATTAATTACCGTTGTAGATAGTGGGGAAGCAGTGAAAGTTTTGGAGCACTGACATCTGAAAGTGATCTTTTGGGAAGATTAGTCTGTCAGTGGTATGCCTGTGTGATCTGAAGAATAGTGGTGCCATTGACAGACTAGGAAAATCATGGGTGGGGCTGCTTTAAATCTAATCTTGGGCATATAAAGGAATGGTTTTCCTTATTTAAAACACAAATCCACCAGTATTTGAGCTCTGGAATGAGACTCTCCAGGGAGGAAGGGGTGGCTGCACGTGTTTCTCAACTATATTCTTCTGAATTTTGTCCTCTCTTGGGGGCTTTCTCACTGTGATTCCTGTAGTCACCATTGAGCCCTGCTACCGGGGGTCCCCTCTTCTTTTCTTTTTGGCCCAAGAATGCATAAAAAGGCTTCTTTCTTTGTTTTCCTTTTACAAAGCTTTCTGAGGGCTTATACTTTTAACAGGATAGTTGTGAAAAATCTGAGAGAAAACAGAAAGGAAATCAATATAGAAAATACAAAAAAGATAAAATTACTCATTTCCAAAAGATTTCTGATTCTGGAAATCCCAATAGTGAAGGACTGTTATCATATTCCAAATTCTCTTATCCTAAAAAAACTCAAAACTAGGTGTTACGAACTCAAGATGCCTGTAGGGGGTAGGCATATAACATAAATATGTGTATCAGCCTGGATAACAGACAACAGAGATTTCTAGAGGCCGGTGGAAAACTAAATTGTGGATGCTCCCTGTATCTAGACCCAGGTAGGCCAGCACAGTTTAACACATGCTGCTCCAGGCAGGTGTGTATCTTACTTCATTTAAAGGAAGTTACCAACTCTTCTAAAATGAGAACTTTTGCCTTTTCTGTTTAGCCTCACTACATCTGCTGTTAGTCTCTCATTTGGTTTTAATCTCCAGTCTGAGAAATTCACTTAGTTCAGAACTGAGTTGCGAGGTGCTGATGTTTGATGCGTTACTTCTGGTGAGTGATCGAGCCCTTTTAGGCCTAACCTAGAAGCTTCATATACCGCTGGACCAGTTTGCCATGATTCCCACAGGTGAGTCTCTCTCCTCTTCCAAAGGGTTTCATAAGAGTCCATTCATTACGGTGTGACCATTTAACCATGCCTTAGCTTACAAAAAAATCGATGGCTTAGCTATAAAGGTAATTTAAAAACATAAGATGAAGATTTTTTTCAGTACATGTTGGCTTCAAATTGACTATAGGACATACAAGTGGGAATGTTCAGGAAAGAGTTAAAAAAATAGGGTTGAAAAAAGAACTTGTAGAAATAGATTTGGGACCCTTCTTCAAAGGAGTAGTGTTTGAAGGCATGAGAATGGGTGCATCTTTTGCTGGGAAGAGCATGGAGAAAAGAAAAGAACAAAAGTCTGGTGATTGAGATTTGGGGCAACGCCACAATTGGAAGGAGGTGTCGGAGCCAGTGAAGGAAGTGTGGGTGAGGTGGGAAGAGAATCTAGATAGAGGAGTAAATTAGCCAAGAAAGGGCAACTAACAGTTATCAAGGACATACTGTGCCCGTGCTAGACACAGAGGTAAGTGCTTTATCTAAGTTTTGACGTTAATCCTTACAACAAACCTGCGAGGTTGGTGATATGATCCTCGTTTTAAAGACAAAGAAGCAGAGACTCAAGGCTCAGCAATTTGCTTCAGGTCACTCAGCTGACTTACTTGTGTTTGTCTCTACTCAAATCCCGTGCTCTTCCCGTCACCAAGGAGGGTGATCCGCAGCGCCACGTGCAGGAGAAAATCAGAGGGAAAGGGTGACTGCCTGAGTGCCTGGGGAAGGAGCAGCGGGCAGGTCACGGTCTTGGCAATATCAGCGGATTGCAGGCAGCTACAGAAGGATGAATTGATAAGGCCGTGGAGACAATGAGTGTAGGACTCCCATCAGAGAAGTTTCACAACGGAAAGGAAGTGAGTTAGCTGGAGAGCTAGAAGTGGCTTCAACAAAACCCTTTTTTAAGATGGGAATACACACAGATGTTTGACAGCAAAGGGGAAAAGGAGGGGAAAGGAGAGATTTCTGCTGGAGAAGGGACGGTGATCGTGTGAAAGCAGGGGCCTGCGGAGCTGAGCGAAGTGCAAGGATGAGCCCTTCATCTGGCGTTTGTGGGTGGCCTGAAGGCACTGGTGATATTTTGAAGAGAGATGACTTGATTTCTGCCTGTGTCCATCCCCTTTCCCCAGGCAATGTAGCCTTTTCATCCAAGAATTTTTATGTCCTTTCCAAGGGCATTGAATTCGCCTTGCTTAAAAAGAGGATCAGATGGTTACATGACTTCTCTGTTATGACAGAAATAGTGAAAGGGACAGAAGTAGAAGGATAAGCAATATTCTTTCCCTCTTCTGAACTCCCACGACTCTTGGTATCTTTCCTGTGTCACTGATCACGTTGGCCTTGTATTGTAGGAATTTCTATACTTATCTTCCCCTGTTAGGTTATAAACTCCTGAAGTGCAGAACTGTCTTGCTCATTTTATTTCCTCTTCTGAACCTACCGCAGTGCCTTGTAGATAGGCGGTTCACAATAATGAGTGGTTGTAGCTTAAAGGTCTTGGCATTCGAGGAGTCTCCCACGTTGGTAAAGGTTGTCTCTGGATATAGAAATGAAGAGAGAAAACAACAGTATCAAACAGCTTACTCTTAAGCTTTACCTGATCTGTTGGCTTCCTCACTTTGGCCTTATACCTAAAGTGTTCACTTACGGCCTGCACTTACGGGTGGTATTTCCTTTGGATGGGGGCTGCATTGAAAAGTGGGAGTTCTGCCGAGACTGAGTCCTGGAGGTCAGCAGCTTAGCTGTCCAGGGTTTAGGGAATGATGCTGCAGGATTCATCAGCATCCTTGTTATCTCCCATAAGGGGAGAAATTGCCACAAAGTGGCAGAGAGCATTTTTTTCATTCTGTGTAGGAGATCTTTGGTCTATTTGTTTTTCTGTTTGGAAATTTAAACTCTGTGTGGACAGTACTTATTAAGTACCAGTGAAAATGTTAAACATCGTGGAGTCATACTGAAAAGTGAAAACATGGTTTCTGCCCTTGAAAGATGGACTTCTGAGAGAGATTAGACCACTGGGATTTACACATATGCAAAAATATTCTAAATAGATAAAATGTATCTTACCTGAGACAAGGAAGAATAGATTGATTTAGGGAGGATCTGGGGTCCGTACCAGGCTACTTTGGGAAAGGTATTTGTGGAAGAGGCGAATCTTGAGCCAAGAGTCCAGAGGGATTTTGAATGGCGGATGGCTGCCAAAGGAAAGACACAGCTAAGTGCTATGTTCAGTCATACAATCTGAGAGGCGCTCCCTGGGTGCGGTGGTTCAAGGGAATCCTTCAGAAGCTCTTGGCATCCATTGCTCTTGTGCTTGAAGCTCAAGGACTTGTGATGCTGCACATTGTCCTCCAGAGAACCCCTCCCGGTTTGGTGTGAGTGAAGTTAGGAACGAGAGGAACTTGGAGACAGGATGCCAGTCCTGCTTGATCGAAAGAAGGAATAGTCAATCGTCTTAGCATATAGTTTTCTGCAGTCCCCCAGCAGTCAGGGGAAGAGCAGAGTGAAACTACTGAATTTAGTGGGTGCCTAAGGAAATGCAAATCTCAAACAGAGTACCCCCAAATTTGGGCTAACCTCTGATACTGAGATCAATTAGAATCAATATAAAATGGAGGAGATTTGCTATCTACAGAACTAACCCACCCAACTGTTTGTAAATAAATTGCTTATGAGACTAGGCTACAAATCTCCTCCAGGCGTAGGCTGGTACCTTAAGGAAGGAAATCATGGCATCTTATATCTTGTACAGAAGATTAGAGCCATAGACTTTATGAGCTGGAAGGGACTATCAGTCTAAGAATCTATCAAGCCTCTTTGTTTTACTTATGAGGAAATGAGGGCCCACAAAGGTAAAAGAACTCTTATGTAGACAATTAGTGGTAGATTTTGCACCAGGACTCAGAATTAGGTACCAGGACCCAGGGCTCTGAACTTCCAGTCCAGTATTCTTCCATCATGTCCATGGCCTTGTCACATGTTACGCAGCTGTGGGCAGTAGGCAAGTCTGAGTCCTATTTGTGAGTGGGACAGAGACCTGATTTAAGAGAGAGGAAAGTGGTCCATAGCTGGAGAACTCTGCCCCAAGTACTGCCTTATTTCTTACTCCACATCCCTTTCTTCCATCTCTTGGTCTTGCACACCTCTAGGCTCTTATAAGCCATTTGAGAGAAACTGTTATATAATTAATTCATGAGATCTGAGGAGATGTACGAACAGAGGAGCAGGGTTGTATAGAATTCAAAAAAAGAAAAGCCCAGGAATAACAATTTATTAACTTATCTAGCACAGTGCCACAGCAATGACAGAGTAGAATGAGGATGAATGTCTAGCTTTTTCCACGGTGTGTGTGAACTACCCATAAAGTGATGTGCTGTTTTTTGCCCCTTTTCTGTGTCTAACAAGTAGCACTCTCAGTGTTTATTCAGCTTCCCAGGAAAAATCAGCTGAAGATCTATAGTCACTGGAATGGCATAGCCTCTAACTTATAAACTAATACATTGGCATTTTAATTTCTAAATTAGTTTCTTATGATTTTAGTTAGTGTCAGTCAATCTTCCAGAGTCTGATTATCCCTAAATTAACTAATGAGAACCAAGTTAGAGACTCTGGGCCTTTGATGACCCCTACAAAGTATTGATTCCCATGAGATGCTGCTTGAGCAGCCGCTTTGGGTATCTCCGTCCATGGATCTCTTTGCCTCCCCCAAGAGTTCTTAGTGAAAACACTGAGTCCTGGAGGCCCCTCTACCTCCATCCGAGAGCATCAGGCTGGATTTAAAAGCATCACAGAAGTACTCGGAGTGCTTATCGGATGCTCTGTGCAATAGTGGACCTGACCGTGCAGCTCCTTTCATCGAACTTAACATGCACACTGAGAAATCCTCCCTCAGTCTGGGGCTTTGCCCAGCTGGAGAAGCCCTTTGGATGGTCAGTGGGGGGTGTGGGAGTACTAACTCGGAGGGGGTCTCCCTCAGCACTCTCTGAACTCAGAGCTTCCCTTTCTTCAACCTCATCTGCAAGGGAAGGAGGGAGATATCGGTGCTCCTTTGCCCCTCTTTGTTTTGTCACGTCCATTTTAGGAAATTCAGTGCCAGAGGACTGCCCAGAGTTGTGTGCCCCTGATCTAGCGAGCCCTAACACCTCAGAGTCCGAGGGTTGGTTGGAGCTGTACTGGTCTGGTCAGAACCCCATGGTTCAGTGATGTCCAGACCAATAGCCCCTCTTGCCTCCAACTGCTTCTGAGCCTGCAAAGCCTGAATCAAATGACCATTGTACTAACCTCGTATCGGGGCTCAGAATGTCAGTTTTCAGCTTGTCCTCATATATAAATATAGGTCTCTCTAGATATAAAAAGTGAGAGTCTTTAAGTTGCTTTTTTTTTTTTTTCTATACCCCCTTTCATGGGGCAAGCTAATGAGATGCATATCATTAAAGACCTGATGTTTTGTGGGACGGAGCCTTTTAAACTGGATGTGCCTGGCTTAGTCATGGCAAATATTTACCAAAAAAAAAAAAAAAAAGGGACATACCATATAAAATTAGAGTTCTGAAAATAGTACTGAGAGAGGGAGAAAGAAAAAAAAAAAAAAAAAGAAAGAAAAAAACCGGGACAGAAAATACAGGCCAGTCTGTTTGGGGAAAAGGGAAAAAGAGATAAAATGAGAGAAACCTCGGCAGTAAAAACAGCATCTTGGTAAACAGACTATAAAAAAAATTGTGACCTGCTTTCTGGCAGCCCTGGCGGCTGTCGAGCGGGTAAAGGTGGCGGAGCTGGCGTCTGTGTGGACACACGGTGCCCGGGGCGCACGGCTCCCCTGGCCGCGCAGGGCGTTAAATTTAGCCACATAATGATGGGCCTGAGGACAGCCTCTTGTTGACCACACCATAATTACTGCTTCGCTTTATGAATTTTATTTTGCTTATTCTGTTTCCTCCTCCTTTGGCATGAAGGAGGCCTGGAGTGGGGGGAGCCCCACCCCCACACCCCTCCCCTTACTGGACAAATGAGTCTTCATAGAAACTTGGGTTCTTGGGCCATCGAGGTAAAGACTAAGCTCCCTTGATTAATCAGAGAGGGAGGGAGGTTTGCTGGTCCCCAAGGCTCTTGAATTATCATAGTCACATCAGAAATGGGACTGGCCAGCCCTGCTGCGCAGAGCTCTTGGACAACGTGTCCTGAAGGCTTCGGTCTTAGAAAGCACTTCATGTGAGGCTGAGAGGTGGACGCTTGTGCTCTGTCTATACCGCAAGGGCGAGGTCCCAGGTGGTGTTGGAGTTTTTGGTCTTTGGTCCTAAGCTCCCTAGCTGGCTACTTAGACGTTTAGTTTTGACAACATTCTGCCTCCGGAAGAGGTGCATTGTTTTCTACATGTTGGTCTTAGTGATAACTGGGTTCTTAAAGCTGAGGGTCTAATATAATCAAGGGGCTGTGCTCAGGTAACATCAAAATGCGTGTTCAGAATGTCCTATTGAAACCTCAGCTATTGTTCTTCTTGGCACTTGGACAGATGCTCTCGGTTTTAGAGGTGAAATAGTGTAGTTTGCTAGAGCGTACCGTGGCCTTCGTCAGAGGGGTGCCCTGAGGCTTAGAGGTACCTGCAGCTCTGGGGAACGGACCAGAAGCCCTTGGTCTCAGACCAAAAACACCATACTGGGAGAGAAAGTAGGCTGTAGAAAGGGCATCAGAGGAGTTGTATGGGCTAAGGTACTGGGTCATTGGGGGTGAAGTTCTTGAATGGTGACCTAGGCTGGCAGCTACCTATGGCCCCACAGTGGCCCTCCAGCTGAGGAAGTGGTGGAAAAGGAAAAGCAAACAGGGGTTGTGGTCAGGGTACTGGCTTGTCTGTCATTGGCCAGGACTGTCCTGTTTGTGTGTCAGGGGTGGTTGGGCTCCTCCCGAAGCCAGGCAAGAACGTGTCAAGGAAAGGCTTCTTGCAGCTCTTGTTTTCTCAAAACAAAGGAAACTCCTTGCATTGCTGGAAGTCGCGTGCTTGGATGCTGAGTTTGTTATTGCCTGATAACCTGGCCACCAACTCCTGCCCTCCTCTTCACCCCATACAGCCAGTGGCCTAGTGGGAGCAGCTTCCTGTTCCTCATCCCAGGCAGCAGATTCACTCTCTGTTGTACCCAGAAAGGAGAAAAACGAGGAGCTAGCCCTCCTACCCCCAGACCTATCTTCTTCTCTTCCCATGGAACCTTCTAGAACAGTGCTTTTCAAAGTAATCTGACACATGGTCTTACTGTGCATAACTAATATGTGACAAGTTCAACAATACTCAAACTCTTTCATACCCTCTTCATCGAGATGAGTCCTCGGAACATGTGTTTGATGTCATGGCAATGTCATGTTGCTATAAAAGTTTTTTAAATACTTCAGATTCAATTTCTATACTTACCTCATCATGGGCTGGTAACCAAGAGTTCACGGACCAGCACCAGTTTGCTGATCACACTTTGAATAGCATCGTTCTAGAACCTTAAGACCTAGTGAGTTTGAGCTAGTCCCTGTTGGACATAGAGGTCCTGTCCTAAACCTGATCAGTGGAGGCTGAGCAGACAAAGGAATTCTTAGGGAAATTTCAGGCAGTAAGAGACAATCTGATCTCAATTGCCAAGTCATGCCAGAGAGCTCCGACACTGAGGTGGAAGGTTGGACTAGACGATTAAAAGTTTCTTTCCCAGTGCTAAGGTTCTGTGATTCTAAGGTTAAATGGTGAGGCCAAGAGATAAAGTTAAGGGCCATGATGATTTTCCCGTAGAGTATTGATTCTAAGCCCTGAACTCTAGGTGACTCAATGAGGTGAAGAAAAAAAAGGAGTGGACGTTCTTCGTGGAGTTCATTTACGAGTCTGTCATTATCGTCTAGATATGAGGTCTGTCTTATACAGATCCGTCTTGTGTTTGGTCAGCATTATCTTAGTCTTCTGTTAGGAGACCACCAAATTGTTTCTAGAGGTTGAGAGATCTAAGATTGAGGAGAAAAGTAAATATTGGCAGAGTTGGTGGAATTCAAGTTAGAGATAAGAAATGGGCCCTGGATTAGAAATGTGGATTATTGGCAGGGCTACCTGACACCCTTGTTGGAGAGTGGGGGTAATACTCAACGCAGGAGGCTGGCAGCCCAGGTCCAGACAGCAGCTGGTTGGAAAGGACTTGCCACGCAGTCAGAGGTTTTCCTTTGCCAGAAAGAAAGTAATAGGGGACTGAGAGGAAAGGCTGTTCGGGAAGGAAGCCAAGAATTTAAAGGACTGGAGAGTTCCATGAGGAAGGGAGTGGGAACCTGCGGGGTCCCACCCTTGCTAAAGGACAGAAGGAAAAGAAGTGGGCCTGGTCTCTTCTTCTTTTCTCTTTTTAACACTCCACTGACCGCAGGGATCTGCAATCAGGAAAAGAAACCAGATAGAAGCTCCCGATTAAAGTAAATCTGGTCACATGTCCCTGCTTAAAACTATCGGTGGCTTCTTATTACCTTAGGATAAAGTCCAAACTCCTTAGTAAAACCATTAAGGCCTTTTATGATCTGGCCTTTACTTACCTCTTTAGCTCCAACTGCCACTCGCCTGCTAGGCCCCACTCACCCCCATCCACGCTCCCCACCTTCCATCCTAAATCTACACTTCAGGCTCAGTGAACTGCTGTCAGTTCCTAGAGTCCCTTATTCTCTCTCTATCTCTAGTCCTTGGCACATGCTGTTCCCTCTGGAAATCCCCTGCCTCACCCGGCTAACTCCTGTTTACTGTTTGCGTTTCAGTGAAGATTTCACTCCCTCTAGGGAGCTTTCCCGGCCGTCTGAGTTCAGGTCAGTTGCCCTTCTTACGCGGGGCTTTATTTGCTGTCTTAGGCCCCATCAGCACTGCATCGTTGTTGCTGGTTTTTCTGGCTCCCCCACCCCCCACTAGATGCTAAGTTCCCTGAGGACAGGGATGTTATCCATCTTATGTAACCCGTCTGATCCATTGGAAGCACTCCGTGAATTTTGTGCTGCTATGTATTCTGCGGAGGATTTTTGCCTTTCTTATTTAATTTGATTCTCTTATAACTACCTGGTGAAAGGAGCAGGCTAAAATGAAAGAACAAATTTACATAAAATTTTTTTTTTACCGCACTAGGGCCACTTCAGGACGACGAGATATGATGGATTGGCTCAAGAAATTGAGTGACCCTGAGTCCTGCGAGTAATTGCAGTTGAAACCAGGAGCTCATCCTCGACTTTCTAGTACAGAGCTTTTTTCCACTCTCTCACACTTTCGTCTCCGAGGCTCTGTCCTAATGGAATGTTCTCGGGAAGGCAGCATGCTCAGAGAGTGAAAAGCATTCCTGTGACTCTTCTTGAGGCTGCCCATTGAAACACTGGTCTGAAATTACAGAAAAATGGCCAAGCACCAAACTGGAGTGTCATCACCTGGAAAGTCAAGGGAAAATGTCAGGGCCTCGAAACATGGAAATGAGCTGAGACACTGTTAGAGGGGAAGCCTCGATCTTGGAGAAGGATCTGAGAAACACTGATATTTTCAGCTGCCAGATGTTTTCCTTGGGGCCGCCCTGAGAAGAGGATAGCCAGTTGGGACCAGAATGGAACTAGGGGGAATATTTGCTGGCCCTCCGCCGGCTCTAGCAATTTCCCAACCACTGAGCAAGGAGAGTGGATGAGCTAGAACCTTTAAGGCTGCCTCTCAGCCCTTTTTATCCTTCGGCTCTTGGGAGCTGGAGGGAACTGGTATCACCCAAATCAACGGAAACCTAATCTCTAGGCAGAGCTGGCCACAAGGCCAGGTTCAAAATTATCCCTGTGCCCTGGCCTTTGGGCAGGGATGAGGAGGCCTGGGTTCTCTCACCAGCAGCGATTAGTAAATTCTAGCCATACAGGACCCAGACGCTCTTTGTCCAGCAATGTTTTCCCAGTGTCTCCTGGGGAGTGATTCAGGGCCAAGGTGACAGTGGGTTTGGAGCCCAGATGAAAGGATCGCAGGGACCACAAGACAAGATCCCTTGTGTGGTGGCCGGCTGGAAGGAGGAGGGAGTGAGCGTGTGTGGAGGTCAGTGACGCAATTCCCCTGGCTCGCAGGGCTGGAGGAGGAGAGGCTCGCGGTGTGTCTCCTTATAAAGAGGCCCTAGCCACATGAAGCAGGGGGTGAAGGTGATCCCACTGTGAGTCACCCAGGAAGGGACGCCGTGTGCCCAGAGCCCAGAAGAGACGACTTGTGGATTTCCCACTCTTTCCTTCTACGATTGTATGCGTAACACAGGCTGCTCCCGTCACTCACGCTGCACTGCCTCTCTTTCTGTCTTCCAGTCCCTTCTTCCTCCTCATTCTGCAGTATCCCTGATGTGTGTGGGCTTTCAGTCTATCAATTTCTTCTGGATTTCTAGAGTTGTTTTGCTTTTTTAATCTAAAGTTTTATATCTGTTGATTTCAAGAAACCCCAACCGTACTAATTGTGTTTGCCTTTGAGAAGATGGCCTGGTGGCTCCTTGCCAAGCTGGTTGTTCTTAGATTGTGTTTGCTTTCCTTCTTATCTTCACCAAGGCAGGTATCATATCCTGGACTGGAATCCGAAGGGATTTGAGGGGCCCCTGGATCCGATTGCCCCTCGGTTGAAAGCAGCTCTCGTCTGGTCTTTATTGAGGTCTGGGACTGAAGGGAGCTCCGGGGAGTGTCCCTCTAATCAGCCAGCCACCAACCCCACACTGCCTTGTAATAAAACAGCTCTATATTTGTTCTGTTTATAGTCTCCTCTGTAATAATGCCACAGCCCTCACTGCTCTCTCTCTTTGGGGAGATTTTCTGGGTAATAGAAAATTTTGAAATGTTAAAGAGGGTTGTAGCCTCCAGTATGTTTTTATCTAGGATGTGTCTTAAGTTGGGAAGATGCCCAGGAAATCCAGGCAGCCAGTGAGTGCTCTGGGGAGGAGTGTGTTGTGGTGAGCGTCGTGTGTGTGTGTGTGTGTGTGTGTGTGTGTGTGTGTGTGTGTGTGAGACACTGTGGCTGTGAGGACAGGGTGTGAGGAGGGGAGGTGTGGGAGAAGCTGTGGGTACGTGCTGTGTGGTTGTTGTAGGTGTGGAGCGCCCTGCTCTCGTGGTGGCGGCAAGTGGAGAGTGTGGTTGGAATGGGGAGTGTGAGAGGTGTGCAAAGGAGCCAGTGCAATGATGGAAAACCCTGTTTTGGCAAATTTCAAAACTGTCAGGTATGTTGGATGGTGAGACCGAGAAGTTTAGCCTCAGAATGGAACCTTTTAAGGCTCACATTCCATTCATTCTTTTGACTGACGTCCCCTTTACTCTGGTCCCGAGCCTTTTCAGGCCTGGGCTCCACACAGTTCTGCTGACATTCCTTGTTCCTCCTTCCTTTTCCTTCCAAGGTTTCTCGTCTCTTTCTTTGTTGACCAGGAAGAAATCAGAGACAGACTGTTATGGAGGGGGGTGAGCAGAAAGCCACCTTGATCTCGGTTAGCAAGAAGGACCCTGGTGTCCCAGGCTGAGGGCTTGAAGTCCACCTATACGGTGAATACTGGGAGTTGTCCTTACCAGGCTCTTGCTAACAATTCTGATTCCTCATTTCCCCCTCCTCCCTCTCTACCTCTGCCTACCCCCACCCCCCGGATTCTATAAATACTTTATTATATGGCACTAGTAAAACTTCAAGTATTTCTTTTTATTAGAGCTACATAATATGGTAATTGTGTGACAGAACACAACTCCCGTGAGCAGTCCCCACCCTCTTCCTAGGTGTGGCCTCTCACCACCTCGGCCTGGGCTAGGCCCACAGGCTTCTCTGTTCCTCCTGAGTGTGTGTGAGGGGGGCTGGGTTAGCATTTCAGACAGAGCTCAGGGGTCAAGGCCTTTGAGTAGGACCAGGCGGGAGGAGTAAAGTGTGTGAGTACAGCAGGAGTGTTACTATGAGCATTAATTCCCAACACTGCCTGAGGCCACTGAACCTGCCTTTCCCTTTTAATAATGTGGTCATGTGCCATAGATGTAGCTTGTGAACTTAGACCCAGGGCCAGGGGTGCATGGGTTTCTTTGGTCGACTCTGATTCACAGGACTGCTCCCTCATTTATTTATTTTTAATAACAGTCATCATTTGTTCTGATGTCTCCTGGGTTCAGAATCCTTAGGCGCTAGAAGAACCTTATTGCTCCTGTGTCTTGCCGCTCAGCTCTGGAACATCTTTCCTCTTAAACCAGAGTCGTTGGCCTCTGTGTCCACTAGTCTCACAGAAGGTGTGGGGCTGGAAACTCCACGGTCTGTAGAACTTTCACTGCTGTCACTGTGTGACCTGCTAACTGTGTATTTTGTTTCCTAAATGAGCCTTATTATTTGATTCTGGGTTTTGTCCAATGAGATCCGACTTGGAACCTTCCCTACCCGTCTGCTGTAGCTGTTGAACTGGGTCAGTCTGTCCCCACCAGTTCTTCTCTGCATTGAGTGGGACTCAGTTTCTGCATCCTTGCTCTGCAGAACTTGAGAAGTGGGGATTTCTGCCTCGGTAGCAGCTAACAGAGCCCTCAGTGCCAGGGACGTGGGGCACAATGTTTAGTCCTTTCTTAACTGCCCTTGTGTCCAGTGTTTGCGTAGGGGCCAACCCCAGTACTAGACTCCGCCACGCGCTCTTTACTCCCCATGGAGACGTATGGGCATATGCTCTTCCCACCTTTTGGGCCCAGCCAAGGCTAATATTAGACCTTCTAGCTGGGCTGCTGTTCCCGAAAGCCACAGGGTGTTGTTAATATTCATGTGACCGCAGAGGCTCATTAATATTCATGAGGTATCTGCAGTCTTCCTTTAGGCCCTTAGCTTGGAGAAAACAGGAATGATTAGAGTTTCTAGAACTTAAAACTAACCCTATTTCCTGGAGTCTCTTGAGGGGGAGGCAAACCTTAAGAGTAAATGTCTGGGCCAAGAGAAAAAGGAGTTTCCATGCCAATACCCTAAACTGGTCTGACAACTTAGTGGAGTGTGCTGGATGGCTGATGTTAATGTTATCATCCTCACCCAGTGTTTATTGAATGCTACTGGGTTTAGGTTCTTGTATGAGGTGCTGTAGGGGGTAGGAAACTAGCATTGTTAAATACTTGGTGAGTGTTAGGGATATAATGATAACTGACATGATTCCTGCCCCAGGAAGCATACGGAAGAAAAGGGGAGACAGCTGGGTGTACACATAACCCATAATCCAAGGTGAGAGGGTTTACTGGAGATATAGACAAAGTGCTGAGTGAGGACAAATGAGGAAGTCATTTTCTGTGGGGAAATTAGTGAACGATTCCCAGGAAGCTTTTGAAAGGAGGGTGGGTCTAAGGAAAGTAAAGTAGAATTTTCTGTGACTCCTTTGATAACCCTCAACAAGGCATAAAGCCCCACCTGGGCTCCCTGCTTACCAAGCTTGCCTGCTACTCCTTTTGTCAGATGCTTTGCTCTTCCAGTATCTTATTTTTTATTTATTTATTTTTTTGGTGAGGAAGATTGGCCCTGAGGTAACGTCTGTGCCAAGCTTCCTCTATTTCGTGCGTGGGACACCACCACAGCATGGCTTAACAGGCCGTGCTAGGTCCACACCCGGGATCCGAACCCATGAACCCCAGGCAGCCGAAGTGGAGTGCACGAACTCAACCACTACACCACCAGGCGCGCCCCCTCCAGTATCTTATTTAATAGAACTTCTTTCCTATAAAGTACCTGTCTACTTCCCAGATGGGAAGGTTCCCCCTTTTTTTTTCTGAAAGATTTAGCTAGTGAGAGCTCCTGTGATCTAGACTTTGGCCTAGTTTGAGTATTTCAGAAGAGGGACATAATTCCAGATTGTATAATTAAAATAAGAGCTTGAGAGCCTGAGGCCACCCTCCTTTCGTGTTTAGCATTAGTTGGCCTAGGATTTTGGTGTTTGGTTGAAAGGTGCATGGGGTCCTAGCGCCCATAGGAAAATCAGAACAATAACAAAAGAGATGGAAACAGAATAATAAAAAAAAAATATCCAAAGAAAATGAGATTCTTTAATTCAGAGAGTAGACTGAGTGGTAAATCATTCTTTTAAATATGAAAAATTAGCACATGTAGGATGGTAAATAGCTTTTCTGCATTTCATTCAAGGTATTGCAGGAAAAGATGAACTTGAATTACAGCAGTAAGGACGTAGCTGAAGTAGAGAGAAGAATTTTTTTTTACCTGACTCGAATGTTCCCAGGGAAGCTGAGGAAACTCCCTTCCTAGAATTCTTAAGATTCTTTCCCCAACGACAGGTGTAGCACGGTTCTGCTTGGAAACAATTGGGGAGCAAGATTAGGAGAGGGCATGGCTGGCCCTAAGATTCTGTGGTTAACTCTCTGTTCCCCTCGATTTACTGGCTCATGCTAGGACCTGACAGAAGCTTCTCTTTCTTCTACCAGATGACAATACTTTTTATGGAGCCCCACATATTTCCTGTGGTGACATTTGGGGAAAAACCTGTGTATAATTAAAGCTGTCACTCCTAGGCACCCTTCCACACTTCCTACTAAAGGCTTGTAAATCTTGAGGTCTGAGGAAGCTGACCTTGGAAGCTGGAATGCCGTTCCTAGAGTTAGGGCCAGGAATGGGTTTTAAGGAAAAGAACTTATCCATAAAGAATATGAGGAAGAAATAATATTAACAGTTCTTTTTCTATACACATTCGTTGTGCTATCCTGCTATTCTGTCTCTTTACAAAGTCTGTTTATATTTTTGTCTTGATCTTTGCTGTTCACACAGGTATTCTTTAAAATGAGCGAGAAATTACTAGGTCACTTCATGGATCAGGTCAATGATGCTAAAATGGGGGCTCCGTGAGAGTAGGTTCCTCGTATGTCTTATTTACCACGGTGCCTCCAGCTTGTGCCTGGTTCATCGTAGGTGCTACAGAAATATTTGTTAAATGGATGAACAAATGTTTATATTTGTGAGGTGAACTGACTTCTCAGTGAGCTTATTGCTCATTAGAATGTTTGCCCAGACCATAGTGAGGACCACAGGAATGGTGGAGCAGTATAAAATGTCTAGGTCATTGCTCATTGGATGACACTGCTCTCATTCTGCTGTTTGATGACAAAGGATCATGTCATTTGGTGCAAAATTAGAATTTCTACCTAAAACCAAGAAAATCAAAACAGTGTGATATGGCAATAATTTTTAAAATACATGGAATCTATTAAATAGAGGAAGGGCTTGTTGAGTGTTCATAGTTCTCAAATCAGCACGACTCTTGGAGAATGGAATTCACAGACTAATGGCTGTTCAGACTGGAACTAAGAGACTGGCTAGTTGGAGTTCCTAAGACCTCTCTCCCGGGAAAGGGGAGAAGGGTGGAGTCTGGGATTCGCCCACTGCGCTCCATAGGAAGATTCTCTTTGGTGGAAGTTATGTTTCTTTTCTCTTGGATTCCATTCCTTTAGGGCTTATGATGAATTAAAGAAGGTGAATTTCAGGTCCAAACCAGTTTTAGGATCTGTTCTACTCAACTGTCAATAAGGGACAGCAGGTGGCGCCAAAACATTGCCCTACTTCTGGTGCTGGCTTGGGAAAAGACTGGAGATGGAGAGAGGGGAGGATTCTCTTTCGAACTGGGGAAGGGCGGGGGACTGGCTACCCAGGCCGTTGCTCAGGTAAGAAATGCTTGTGGGCTCTGTGTCTCCAGCTCCCCGTCACCCAGGATCTGAACCTCCAACGTCCGACTTTGGCAAGAGGATTGGCGGGGAGAGCGGGATCCCAGCAA